AGTCCAGATGACATGATTCAACCTTTTTTGTTGTTATATACCTGGATGACTGAGAAAACAAACTTTGTGTCTAACTTGAATTATTTTGTTTTTCCAAGTAAAGCTGTGTATCAACAAAACTGAAATGTTTAAGCATACTGAAAATCTTAATTTTCAGATACATATTACCGTTGATTTAGTGGCTACAATTTCTAAGTTTAGGAGCCTTTTTATGCTCAAGTTTCTTGAAAAAAAGAATACAAATGAAACTCTTCTAAATATGGATAAATAATTAAAAAGAAGCTGAAATCAAAACTAATTTTGAAAGACTCTGAAAGCTTGGATACTATTAATTAAGATAACAAAAAGTAAACAGTTTGGCTCTTACAGACAAAAGACAGAGTCTTCAGGAATATATAGAATTAATAAAGAGTAGAAGAACAAATAAGAGTTCAGTAAGTAATGTTTGATCGTGAACATGGAGTCCTCTCAAAGAAAATAACTTCTCAGTGAAAGTATTCAAAATGTAGGCATTCAGACAAAAGTTTAATTTAAAGATCAGACTACAAAACAAGGAAAAAAGAACGGGCAGCTCAAGCATTAAATGAAGTCCCAGTCCATCTGTACATAGTCAGAACACTGGTTTAGCTCTCAGATGCACCTCTGGTCCAAAGACGTGGAGTTAGACCTAACTGTTCAGATCTGAACCAGTAACACACTAACCAACAAGTGAATCAGCTATTAGTGCATCTGGTCCGATTTCAGTCCACTTCTGTCTGTAAAACTCGGCCTGTCAGCTACTTTACTTTTCTACAATGAAAGAATGTTGTTGCCATGACAACCACATAGTCCGGGCAGCAGCAGGATAATGACTGTAGCAGTCTCTTTATACATTCAGTGGGGATCTGCATTTGCCCTGTTCTCCTCAGGGCTGGCAACCAACAAACCTGAACAACTTTCATGCTTCTAATCCTAAAGAATTGTTTTTTTTTTTGTATGAGGACTTTATGGATTAAAAAAACATTTGTCCAAAAAGAATAGTTTGTCGTTTAATTAATAGATAGAGTGAAGTTGACCATTGCTATCTTAAAACAACTCCACTCTCAAAACCATTAGATTGTGGTCAGTTGTGCATTATGTTATTTATATAGAATTTTCTGGCTATTTACAAGCACAAGGCCATAGCAGCAGCTAAATGTAGCACTTCTGGTGATCACTATGAAATAAAAAATGAAGGTGCTTGATGGCAATAAACTCTGCTTTGGAAGTGGCTCCACCTGAATCAGCCATTATCAGCTCAAAACCCACCTCCAAAATAATTCTTGCCAGCCTAAAATGACTCAGAGCATCAAATTGATTTACGGAGCAGTTTAATTGTGTTTCACATAACGGCTTTTCTAAAAGAAATATTTCAATATTTCCACTGGACATATCCTTGGCTGAACAGGAAGTGCTAAAGTCAGCTGTTGTTGCCTCTTGCAACTAAACACAAAACTATGTAAAACCTGTACAATGGTTCATACAACAGTGTCCATATGAACCGCTTTGAAAAACAGTTTCATTTGAAACTAGATCATAAGTCCTGTTGGATCTGCACTGCTTATGCAAACCAAGATAATAGAGCTATTTACAACTGAAGATAGACCCATTTTAATCAGCCCATTGTGACGAATTCTTAAAAAGAGACTTCCATTTATCATTTTTAAAATGTACAAGCTATTCTAGGGATTATATGCTGCCTTATCAATAACAGCAGCGGCAGCGATTTTGCCTACTCGTCTGGCACCGCCTACTTTGACGATTTTTTTTCCTTTGGAGTCAATCGACGTGCCGGCGCATGATAGTCACATGACCAATTCCAGTTGTTCTAGTGGGAAAGACTCAATTTTAATTTGTCATAAGTATAGACCTCAGTTTACACATCAGTTTTTAAATTGTGTTGATGGGTCAAGTAAAAAACAGAGTTAAGATAAATAATCCACGCCACATCTTAAATAGCACCTTCTCAGAGTGGATCAACCAGTTGATCCACTCTGAGAAGGTGCTATTTATAAGACTGAGCTGAATACAGCACCTCAGACTGAGGAAGTCTCTCGGATGAAAGACGAAACGTTTCTAAATTTTTTCTTTGTTTTGCTTCGTTTTGTTTTTTGAATGTCCAGAGGACCAGATTTAACTTTTTTAGATTCCCACTAGGATGTTTGACTCTGTGTCAGAGGGCTTCCAGAACCCCTCTGACACAGAACATTAAAAGCATTAAAATAAAATCTCATTTAAATTCAATATTTTTATTTCAAGCTGAGACTGCTATAAAGAACTGAATAGTTTTTTGTGGTAAAAATATTTAAAAATTGTATGTTTAAGCAATTAAAAAGGTGGTTGATTTCCCCCCTGAGGAACATGAAGTGTCATAAAGTTAAAAGGGTTAAAACCATCTTATTTAAATTTACACAATATGATGCTTTTGATGTGAACCAGATTTCATGATCTTGTCTGTAGTTACAGAAAACAAAGTGAAGTTTTTGAGCTGCATGCATTCAGCTGAGACTGCTGCAAGATAAAGATACATTTATTGTGAAAAAAAATATTTATTAGATTCTTGAAAATGTATGTTATCTCGCTCTAAAAATGATTGACAGCTTCTGATGATTATGATTTCATAACTAATTTCATGTCTGTGATGCTGGTAAGACATTTTCATCAGTGATCAGTGTTTAAACTGTGTGTGTTCAACATTTTTGCCACACAGAACATCTGTGTGT